AGACAAGAGATGAAGTACAAGAAGCCAGGACAAGATATCCATATTTGCACCCTGGTCAAATGTTACCTGAAGCCATTTAAGCTCCTGGACTTTTCAGTTACATGAGGGAACAAACTTTATTTTTGCTTATGTCTGAATTTTTGTTGCTTATAATGGAATCAACCCAAAGTGATACAGTGCCTTTTATCCCACAAGCTACATAGCTATTTCTTTTTCCTTTCTTTGCAGTATCAAAACCATTCATTCTTTAAATGCAGCTTAAATGCTATCTTATCCACGAAACAATCTCTGCTTTCTTGTGCCATAAGAATTATCTCCCTTTTTTGAAAGCCCAGAGCATTTTACATGTTAGTCTCTTATAGAATATCTCTTACTATAGTGTACTGATTTTCTTTAGATACATGGCTTGTCTCCCTGTAAGCTACTGGCAGCTTGAAGGCAGGACTTGTATTGTAATTATCTTTTTATCACAGAACATGCAATAAGGTGCTTTGAATAAAATGGGGTCTCAAGTCATATTTACGAAATGAACAGATGAATCAATGAAATGAATTTTGGCTCTGAGCAGGCAGTACACTATGGGAAGAGCCAGTTTTGCTCCCTAGGGGAAGAGAACAAACTGCTGCTGGAGGTGTTGCAACAGTACAAACTATCGGGTCAAGACGACGCAGAGAAGAAATGAAGTCTGATAAGGGCAAAACCAGGCAGAATGAGCACCAAGCACACAAAGGCTGTAAAGACCCACAAGGCTCCACATGAAGTTTGAGGTGCTTTTTCCAATTCTGTGAAGAAAGTCAATGGTAGCTTTACGGGGATAGCATTGGGAGAGGACTAACATTAGGAGAAATACCTAATGTAGATGACGGCAGGATGGATGGAGCAAACCACCACAGCACATGTATACTTACATAACAAACCTGCACATGTACCCCAGAACTTACTGTATTAACAACAAAAAGACCCACAAGGCAATCATTTAGAAAACTTACTCACCCATGGCTTCCTTTATCCAAGAGTGTCATTAGTCTCTGTGGTCAGCCACTTGTACTATCTCTTAATTAGCTACCATTTACTAAGTGCTTAGTACATGCCAGCAAGATATAGCTGATCTATCAGACTGGCAAAAAGTTTAAAGGGTAGGAGAGATTCTGTTCTACATTCTTACAAGGACTGGCGATTTTATGATTAGCTTATACAATGAAACAAATAAAGGTTTTGCACAATAAAAATGCAAGTGAATACAGAAAGATTATATTACCTCTGAATTTTTTAAAAATTGGGGGAATTCTCCCCATCCCATACTCCTGCATAAACATCAACCATAGAATGGGGGCAGGCAGTGGAGTTGAGAAGGAAAAGCAGTGTTCTGTCTGATGTTTATGCTGGGGGAAGGGTAGGGAGTATTCAAAATACTCATCTTTTGCCTGGTTTTCTGATATAAAAGGCACTGATATAAAGACAATGGCCAATTATTGATAAACTCAAGCCTCTGGCCTGTAAGCACCGGGAGGTGCTTTGGGAGGCCAAGGTGGGAGGACTGCTTGAGGTCAGGAGCAAGGGACCAGCCTGAGGTACTTGGTGAGGCTCCATCTTTACAAAAAATAAAATGAGCCCTGTGTGGTGGTACATGCCTGTAGTCCCAACTATTCAAGAGGATCCCAGGAGTTTGAGATTACAGTGAGCTACAATCACACCACTGCACTCCAGCCTGGATGACAGAGCAAGACCCTGTCTCTCAAAAAAAACAAAAAAAGACAAAAAAAATCCAAGCCTCCAGATTTTTTGACTTACTATCAGTATCAAAATCACAAGACAACTTTAAACTGTGGTCTTACAGAACCACAAACTTAGAACCTTGGTCTCAGAGAACCATAAACTCAGAATTTTCAAAAATATAAATGTCACATATTACATGGGTTTGGAAGAAGTATAATTTTAATTTTCCACACAGTACTTTGAAATATGTATATTTTTCCATTTGCTAAAGTTTTCATCAGGTTACCATGAAGCTACTAATCACATTTCATTGAACTCAGAGACATTCAAGTGACCACAGCCAATAACTAATATCTCCCCAATTAACCAAAAAAATAAAATTTTATACATGTATCTCACACACACACACTGACACACACACACACACACACTCTCTCTCTCTCTCTCTCTCTTCTCTCTCTCTTACACTTTTACCTGTAAAAAGTTCAACCGGGCTAGGAAATCTGTGATGTAACTTCCTAGGGGCTTAAGACTTGGGTATGATCGTTTGGCCCATATTTCTGGAACCTTTCCAATAAGCAAGCTGCCGGAAAGCGCCTCCAATGCGGAATCCATCACAACCACACCCTTAATAGCTTTTTCAAGGTCTCGTAGAGTGTTACGTATAGTTATAATTAAGCTGCAATAAAAGAAATTATGTCATCAACATATATATGATGGTATCAACAAGTCTTTCCAGAAGAACAGGAGGAATTTCATTCCCAGCTTTATGAGATTGATTCCCAAAATGTGTCACCTCCCATGTGGTGGTACGTGAGGTAATGTTAAGTGATACATGTATGAACATTTTTCATTTTAATCATTACATACATATTTTAAAATACAGAAAGTAATACAACTACCATATCAAAATTTTTACTTTCTGGCTATTTTTGCTTAGGACCTGGCTAATTTAAGCAGAGAATGATTTTTTTTTTTTTTTTTTTTTTAAGACGGAGTTTCACTGTTGTTACCCAGACTGGAGTGCAATGGCATGATCTCGGCTCACCGCAACCTCTGCCTCCTGGGTTCAAACAATTCTCCTGCCTCAGCCCCCCGAGAAGCTGGGATTACAGGCGCGCGCCACCATGCCCAGCTAATTTTTGTATTTTTAGTAGAGACGGGGTTTCACCTTGTTGACCAGGATGGTCTCGATCTCTTGACCTCGTGATCCACCCGCCTCAGCCTCCCAAAGTGCTGGGATTATAGGTGTGAGCCACCACATCTGGCCCCAGCAGAGAATGATTTAAGGAGAAATATTAGGTAAATAGTATTTCAGGTGGCATGCAAATATGAAAATGCTATAATGATGTGCAATGGCTGAAACTAAGGAAATACTGCATTAAAACGTAAACTGCATATTCATTTATATACTTGCAAATACTTTACTTCCACTTAGGCCCAAATTGCTAAGAACACCATAAGTATACTTGTAGTGAGAGGTTTTTTTTTTTTTTTTTTTTTTTTTTTTGAGATAAAGTGTCGCTCAGGCTGGAGTGCAGTGGTGAAATCTTGGCTCACTGCAACCTCCGCCTCCTGTAGTGAGTTTTTAGGCTAGAAGCCTGAGCAGCTGAGAGATAGTGTGTTATTATATATACATAAATATAACTTTTGTATAAGAAATGCTGAATTAACTAAGGCATCAGGTGTTTTAATATATTTTATTTTAATATGTCAACCAGCCTGGACACTAAAATAAATTTCAAAGTACTATAGAAAATTCATAACCTTTGCTTATAGCCATTACTGGATAATAAGAAAAAAAATTGATAACCTAAACAATTCTCCATTCCTTAAGCCAATATTAAATTACAGAAAATTCAATAACAAATTTAAAACACATCATTCGTTAGTTATCCTGGGGTACCTAATCAACTCAGATTGGTTGAATTGGACTCAGTAAGGAAAAGGAGGGGTATGTGTGTCGGGTAGCAGAAAAATGACAAAAGATGTGACTATACATAGGTCTCGTTGATATTTATTCTGTCTCTAATTCCTAAGAATAGTTAACAAATGAATAAGAAGTTATGATTAATGAATATTTTAAACCAGTAAGAACAAATCTCTTTTTCATCATCGTTTTTACATTTTAAAAGATATTCTCTCTTCTGAGACAGATTCAGAAGGCAACCATCCAAAGTTGGTATTTTTTTTTTTTTAATAGGGTCTCATTGTGTCACTCAGGCTGGAGTGCAATGACACAATCTCTGCTCACTACAGCCTCCATCTCCCAGGCTCAAGCAATTCTCTCACCTCAGCCTCCCAAGTAGCTGCGGCTACAAGGCATGTGTCACTATGCCTGGAAAATTTTTAAATTTTTGTTGAAAGGTTTCTGCCATGTTTCCAAAGCTGGAACTCCTGGGATCAAGCAATCCTCCTGCCTCGGCCTCCCAAAGTGTAGGGATTACAGTATGAGTCACTGTGCATGGCTGGAACTTTTCTTATTTTTTTTTTTTTTTTTTTGAGATTGAGTCTTGTTCTGTTGCCCAGGCTAGAGTGCAGTGGCATAATCTCAGCTCACTGCAAACTCTGCCTCCTGGGTTGAAGCAATTCTTCCACCTCAGCCTCCTGAGTACCTGGGATTACAGGTGCCTGCCACCATGCCCAGCTAATTTTTGTATTTTTTAGCAGAGACGGGGTTTCACCATATTGGCCAGGCTGGTCTTGAACTCCTGACCTTGTGATCTGCCCACCTCGGCCTCCCAGAGTGTTGAGATTACAGGTGTGAGCCACCGCACCTGGCCTGGAACTTTTTAAAAGGGGGAAAATTCCAATGAAATGACAGGATTTAATAGTCTTCTTGGGTCAATATCATTGTTTGGATAGTTGCTTTCTGAATCACATGATATATCCTTACTTGTTAAATCTTTCCATTTCTTGTACTAACACAGTATTCATGCTCTCTTCATATCTCACAGGATACTTCTGCAGTGCTGTTTCAATGTCGAAATCACTAGGGAGCTACAAGAATAGATTTTGAAGATCACGAATTACTCTCAGAATGGATAATTAGCTTCATTCAGCTATGATATAATGGCTAACACTAGGGTGTATATGTACATCAGCTCATCTACATGAACTAACGTGGATATGTACATTAATGTACATAAGTCGTATGTACGTACATTAGCTTATCCACAATCACAGTTACTAAGAACTCACTATATGCCAGGCATTTTACGAATTACTTTAAATTCATGATCTCTTTAATGTTCTCAAAAAACCTTAAAAAACTGGTACTATTGAAGCAGCAGCTTCTCCACTCCTTCTGGAATCTCCCCCTGGTTCAGCCCGCCTGCCTCCACTCCTGCCTCCACCATGTCCATCAGGGTGACCCAGAAGTCCTACAAAGTGTTCACCTCTGGCCCCCAGGCCTTCAGTAGCCGCTCCTACATGAGTGGGCCCAGTGCCCACATCAGCTCCTTGAGCTCTTCTTCCAAGTGGGCAGCAGCAGCTTCCTGGGATGCCCTGGGCAGAGGCTATGGTAGGGCCAGTGGCATAGGAGGCATCTCGGATGTCACGGTCAACCAGAGCCTGCTGAGCCCCCTTAACCTGGAGGTGGACCCCAACAAAGAGGCCGTGCGCACCCAGGAGAAGGAACAGATCAAGACCCTCAACAAGAAGTTTGCCTCCTTCATAGACAAGGTGCAGTTCCTGGAGCAGCAGAACAAGATGCTGGAGACAAGTGGAGTCTCCTGCAGCTGCATAAGATGGCTGACAGCAACATGGACAACACGTTCCACGGCTACCTCAACAACCTTAGGTGGCAGCTGGAAACTCCGGGCCAGGAGAAGCTGAAGCTGGAGGTGGAGCTTGGTTACATGCAGGGGCTAGTGGAGGATTTCAAGTATGAGGATGAGATCAATAAGCCTACAGAGATGGAGAATGAATTTGTCCTCATCAAGAAGGATGTGGATGAAGCTGACATGAACAAGGCAGAGCTGGAGTCTCGCCTGGAAGGGCTGACTGATGAGATCCACTTCCTCAGGCAGCTGTATGAAGAGGAGATCCGGGAGCTGCAGTCCCCGATCTCAGACACGTCTGTGGTGCTGTCCATGGACAACAGCTGCTCCCTGGACACAGACAGCATCATCGCTGAGGTCAAGGCACAGTATGAGGAGATCGCCAACCGAAGCCGGGCTGAGGCTGAGAGCATGTACCAGATCAAGTATGAGGAGCTGCAGATGCAGGCTGGGAAGCACAGGGATGACCTGCAGCGTACAAAGACCGAGATCTCCGAGATGAACTGGAACATCAGCCGGCTCCAGGCTTAGATTGAGGGCCTCAAAGGCCAGAGGGCTTCCCTGGGGGCTGGCATCACAGATGCCAAGCAGTGCGGGGAGCTGGCCGTTAAGGATGCCAATGCCAAGCTGTCCAAGCTGGAAGCTGCCCTGCAGTGGGCCAAGCAGGACATGGCGTGGCAGCTGCGTGAGTACCAGGAGCTACTGAATGTCAAGCCAGCCCTGGATATTGAGATTGTCACCTACAGGAAGCTGCTGGAAGGTGAGGAGAGCCGGCTGGAGTTTGGGATGAAGAACCTGAGTATCCGTATGAAGACTAACAGCGGCTATGCAGGTGGTCTCAGCTCAGCCTATGGGGGGCTCACAAGCACAGGCCTCAGCTACAACCTAGACTCCAGCTTTGGCTCTGGCGCAGGCTCCAGCTCCTTCAGCGGCACTAGCTCCACCAGGGCCGTGGTTGTGAAGATCAATCAGATCCTCAATTGGAGGCTGGTGTCTGAGTCCTCTGATGTCCTGCCCAAGTGAACAGCTGCGACAGTCCCTCCCAGCCTGCCCCTCCTGCGGCTGCCCCAGGGCTCAGGAGGGAGGCCACTGTGCAGGGGAGCCGAGGGAACAGAGACCCACCTGAGGCTTAGCCCTAGCCCTCAGCCCACCCTCGGAGGAGTTTACTGCCTGGGGACCCCCCTTGCCTATGTCTCCAGCTGCAAAACAATTCAATTACTTTTTTTTTATTGTCCAAAATAAAACCTTAGCTAACTTAGCCCCCCCAAAAAAAAATTGGTACTGTTATTACCATTTAACAGATTTAGAGACTAATGCTTAGAGAGGCAAAGTTCTTGCTCAAGATCATAATGCTGGTACATGGCACTTTCAGATTGTCTTTTCAGTATCATTTCTATTTATATTATTAGCAACATATTTTAAGCTAAACATTACCTTGTTGAGGATATCTTTGGTAATTTCTAACAGAATCTGGTCAGTACTTCCTGAGGCTCCTGTCTGTTTGGAGCCTCCCTGGGTGAGAAGCAAGGACTCGAAGAGCAGTTTTGTTTGTTGAAGATCCTTGGAGATGTCAACGTTTTCATGTAATCCAAATATCTCAGGGTGTTGAGTAAATGGAAGTTTCTACCAGAAAACAAATTAAACATGCGTATTTTCCCTGGATACTGAAAGGGACAATCAGGACACGCTGTTCCAAAATATGCTACTTTGGCATGGGGATTATTTGAGCTGAAGGCAATTAAGAATCAACAGATGCAGAAAGAGGTCTCTGACCTCCCCTTATCTGTCTAAAAGCAGGGCATCAATTTCCATTTTTAATTTGTGGCAGGCATTCCTCATCCTTGTATCAGGATGAGGAGAATGACCCTTCTCACTGGAGACAGAACTGGCACTGAGATGAGATCGTATGAACAGACCTCACTCAAAACGATGCTTATCTTCCATTAGTTTCCCCCATACATTTCTTAATCACTTTCCCACAATGTATTGCCCCTAGAGCCCCAAACCCCTTTTCCTTTATCTAGTCATGTCTCTATAATTTATCACCCTCTGTTAAAATGTTAAATGCCCAAGTACAACCGCACTGTTCAGTTTTCACTCCTTTTCTGCAAAGCCCCTGTGCACATATTGTTAACAACAATACAAACTGTGTTGCCTTTTCTCCTGCTAATTTATTTTTTGTTAATTTGATTAGCAGACCCCAGGCATTGAACATAAGAGGGTAAAGTTTTTCCTTTCCTGCAATACATTAATTCATGGCAGACATGTGCAGACCAAAAAGGGTTAAAAACCAGCATCAAATAACAGAATACTCAAACTTTTCTAATTTTCAGTAATCACTAGAAGAAAGTTTATTAAAAGTTGATTAAAACCATAATACTTGTCCAAATCTATACATTAGAGAATAACATTTCACCGTTTGCTGTTAGAAAAATCACACATTAATCTAACCTTATTTTCAATGACATCATTACCTTAATGAATTCAATGTAGTCCTCATAAGTGCCTTTAGGAGGTGCAGAATAGTTTCCACTGGGAGAAAACTTATAATGAGGGTTTTCAACTATGTGCAGATTATAAAAGTCACCCAGCATGGTTAATAGGAGACGTCTGTCCCAATCATCTGTTACTCTTCCTCCATAATTACATTCCCCAGTCAGGTAAGATATAGCTTCCAATGGAATTGTATCATATTCATTGATAAATAACTGAAGGGAAGGAAAAAAATGAAACAAGAAAAATCTTAAAGTCTTTCACTTCATTTCCATCTTAAGTATCTATCTATCTATCTAGAAAGGGGACTGAAAGAGTTATCATGAGTTGTCTTAGTGTTTTTGTTTTTGTTTTTTGAGACAGTCTCACTCTGTTGCTCAGGCTGGAGTACAGTGGTGTGATCTTAGCTCACTGCCACCTCTGCCTCCCAGGTTCAAGCAATTCTCCTGCCTCAGCCTCCCAAGTAGCTGAGATTACAGGAGAGTGCCACCACATCTGGCTAATTTTTTGTATTTTTAATAGAGATGGGGTTTCACCAGTTGGCCAGGCTGGTCTCAAACTCCTGACCTCAGGTGATCCCCCTGCCTTGGCCTCCCTTGCTGGGATTATAGGTGTGAGCCACTGCACCTGGCCGATTATATTTTATCTTAAATTACTTTGCTTGTCTGCGCCTCTAATTTTTTCTGAAATAAAGACATACTCCTTCTGTAATGAGAGAAACATTTAATTAAAAAAAGATGACATGGAAATTACCAAGTATTTTTCATATAAATTTGGATAAACCTTGTTTTATCACACTGGCTATCAACTGGGGTTAATTTTTTCCCTCAGGGTACATGTGGCAATGTCTGGAGATAGACATCACAACTGTGGTGGGGCGGGGTGGGGTGGTACAGGTATTACTGTATCATTTCATCATGCAGTTACAATTCCATGAGCAACAATCTCAACAACTGTTACAAGGATTTTCAAATGGACATATTTATTCCACTTAAGGTTTCTATCCTGATATTTTTTAAAGTCTTGATAAAATAGCAAACATTTCTATACAAACTATGTGTTAATTTTTATTTTAAATCATAAATATGATTAAATGCTTATAGCCTTATAAAAACCTACCTGACTGAAATATACTAGCACCTAATCAGACTTTGTCAATGTTTCTCTTTTCCCTTCATTCGGCCCTATTTCAAAAAGGCCCCTCACAACAGCAAAAGAGCAGAAAAATATTAATATTCTGTAATTGGTAAAAGGCCAGCTACTCACTTTCCCAAGCCCCTTACAGCTAATGCCTATACCTGTGACCTGGGCTTGGCTACTCAGATGCATCCACCTTAAATTAAGTAGGGGATTAGGGTACAAAGGAGCAAGAACAAGCCAGCTATGAGGCTCATGCCTGTAACTCAGCACTTCGGGAGGCCGAGGTGGAAGAATCGCTTGAGACCAGGAGTTTGAGACCAGCCTGGGCAATGTAGCAAGACCCTGTCTCTACAAAATAAAATAAAAATAAAAATAAAAATAAACTTACAAGGGGCCAGGCACGGTGGCTCATGCCTGTAATCTCAGCACTTTGGGAGGCTGAGGTGGATGGATTGCCTGAGCTTAGGAGTTTGAGACAAGCCTGGGCAACATGGCAAAACCCTATTTCTACTAAAAAACACACAAAACATTTAGCACACACTTGTAATCCCAGCTACTTGGGAGGCTGAGGCACAAGAATCACTTGAACTGAGAGGTGCAGGTTGCAGTAAGCTGAGATCATGTGACTGCACTCCAGCCTGGGTGACAGAGTGAGACTGTCTCCAAAACAAACTTATCTGGGCATGGTGTCATGTGCCTGTTGTCCCAGCTACTCCAGAGGCTGAGGGAAGAGCATCGCTTGAGCCCAGGAGTTCAAGGCTGTAGTGAGCTATGATTGCAACACTGCACTCTAGCCTGGGTAACAGAGACCCCATCTCAAAAAAGAAAAATCACGCTATTCCCATCAAGCTACCAATGACCTTCTTCACAGAACTGGAAAAAAAAAAAAAAACACCTTAAACTTCATATGGAACCAAAAGAGAGCCCGCATAGCCAAGTCAATTCTAAACAAAAAGAACAAAGCAGGAGGCATCACACTACCGGACTTCAAACTATACTACAAGGCTACAGTAATCAAAACAGCATGGTACTGGTACCAAAACAGAGATATAGACCAGTGGAACAGAACAGAGGCCTCAGAGGAAATACAACATACCCACAACCATCTGATCTTCGACAAACCTGACAAAAACAAGCAATGGGGAAAGGACTTCCCTGTTTAATAAATGGTGTTGGGAAAACTGGCTAGCCATGTGCAGAAAGCAGAAACAGGACCCCTTCCTGACACCTTACACCAAAATTAACTCCAGATGGATTAAAGACTTAAACATCAGACCTGACACCATAAAAACCCTAGAAGAAAATCTAGGCAAAACCATTCAGGACATAGGTGTAGGTAAGGACTTCATGACCAAAATGCCAAAAGCAATGGCAACAAAAGCCAAAATAGACAAATGGGACCTAATCAAACTCCACAGCTTCTGCACTGGCAAAAGAAACAGTCAGTAGAGTGAATCGGCAACCAACAGAATGGGAAAAAATTTTTGCAGTCTACCCATCTGACAAGGGGCTGATATCCAGAATTTACAAAGAACTAAAACAGATCTACAAGAAAAAAACAAACAAGCCCATTCAAAAATGGGCGAAGGATATGAACAGATACTTTACAAAAGAAGACATACAGGAGGCCAACAAACATATGAAAAAATGCTCATCATCACTGGTCATCAGAGAAATGCAAATCAAAACCACATTGAGATACCATCTCACACCAGTTAGAATGGCGATCATGAAAAAATCGGGAAACAACAGATGCTGGAGAGGATGTGGAGAAATAGGAACACTTTTACACTGTTGGTGGGGATGTAAATTAATTCAACCATTGTGGAAGACAGTGTGGTGATTCCTCAAGGACCTAAAAATAGAAATCCCATTTGACCCAGCAATCCCATTACTGGGTATATATCCAAAGGATTATAAATCATTCTACTATAAGGACACGTGCACAAGAATGTTCATTGCAGCACTGTTCACAATAGCAAAGACCTGGAACCAACCCAAATGCCCAACGATGATAGACTGGATAGGGAAAATGTGGTACATATACACCATGGAATATTACGCAGCCATCAAAAACGATGAGTTCACGTCCTTTGTAGGGACATGGATGAACCTGGAAACCATCATTCTCAGCAAATTGACACAAGAGCAGAAAATCAAACACCGCTTGTTCTCACGCATAGGCGGGTGTTGAACAATGAGAACACATGGACACAGGGAGGGGAGCACTACACACTGGGGTCCGTTGGGAGGAAATGGGGGAGGGATGGGGGGTGGGGAGGTGGGAAGAGATAGCATGGGGAGAAATGTCAGATAAAGGCGAGGGGACGGAAGGCAGCAAACCACACTGCCATGTGTGTACCTATGCAACAATCTTGCATGTTCTTCACATGTACCCCAAAACCTAAAAATTAAAATTAAAATTTAAAAAAAAGAAGAAAAATCAGTAACAGCAAGGAATCTCTTTGAAGTGGTCATGGCAGCAGAGGCCTGCAGTAGACTAGAGTCTGTGTGGCAGCCATGCAAGCTCTGGGGTCTTTATTCATCAAGGGTAGAGATGCTGCCTTACCAGACACA